GGAATCTGGGGGTGTAATTTCCTGTTGAGGTTTTTTTGGTAGTGTTGTTTTCCTGAAATCAGTGAGGGTATTGAGGGCTTATGAATTATTAGCGTTAGAGACAGTAGCTGGTACATAATAGACTTGATAAATGTTTATTGAATGAATTAAAATGAGATATTTTATAATTAATGGATGGAATAATTGAGAATAAGAATAGGTGTGTGTGCGTGTGTGTGCGCGTGCGCGTGAACTCTGGCTTGTATGTGGCTGCCTACCCGAAATTTTCTTGTTCCTTTTTCTTGTTCTTTTCTAGCAAGATAGTTTTCTTTCATTTTCTTCCTGGCATCTGGCACTCCTAAACAATACAACTGCAAAAATAACTCTGTTACAGAGAATGACTTGTCAGGACACAGCTCTGTCCATCGTGGTAAGTAAAGTATGCGTTTAATGTATGTCTTCATCAGGCTATATACCTTTGGTTCCCAGCGTTGGTTGTACGCTGTAATCACCTGGGGTGATAAAAATTCTGATGTCTGGTTTCCACCCGAGAGATGCTGACTCAGTTCGTCTGGGGTGGGGCTTGAGCATAGATTTTTTTTAAAGTTCCAAGGAGATTTTAAGGTGCACTCAAGGTGGAAAACCACCACTGAAGCAGATGTGGAGAACTATAAATTAAGAATCCCAGCTACTTAATTGACATATGCTTCCTAGTTCCTTGCCCAGCCACCACTGTCTCTCCAAAAACCCGAGGTAAGTTCTTATTTTGGCTCCAATTTAAGACCTCTGTATTTTGAGAACGATGATGTTTGTTGTTTGAAAGGATTACTTGTATTGTGCATGGACTTTCTGGAGGTAGTTTTATTTAATTCAGTTCCTACATGGCCATGACAATGTATCATCTTTGACAGTAAATGAATCCATTTTCTTTATTAGTTAACCTGTAAAGAATCCCTGCAGGGAAACCCGAGGTTGAAATGGAAGCTTTGATATGGATGTGGGATGCCTTAGCAGGGATGGGCCCTTGAGGGCAAAAGGCCCCAAAGTATGTGGGCTTTAAAAAACTTTAGTTTTCGTTAATCTTATTTTTGTTTTAGGATTTCTCCTAAAGCCTTTACTTCCTAGTTATAAAGTAGCTGATAATAAAGCAAACATAAAAACAGTTCTACCTATTTATTTTTGGCAAACATTAATTGCTCTTTAAAAATTATTTTTGTGAAATGACAAAAGTAATGCAAGCTCATGTACAAGCCTAAAACAATACAGAACAGTGTAAAACAAGAAAACCCTTTCATCTCCACCTAATAATTCATGACCAGAGATTGTGGTTTCTGCTTCAGAAAAATTCAGCCCAGAGTCAAGTTTTTACGCAGTTAGGGAAAGGGGTTTAAGAGATTTAATCAATCCTGTCCCTCTCTGGGCTGAATTTTGAATCCATTGAGAAATAGTATCAGATAAGGATTCAAGTCTTGGCTTTATTATTGCTAAGGTTGGATCAGAGAGCGCTGCTTGAACTTGAGGGCCGTGGAGATTCTTGTGCCTACCCCCCTGCCTTATCATGGGCCCCACATCTGGACAAACTGGTGTTGCCTGGACAAGGGCTGGGTCTACCTGGGGAAGCTTTCGTGAAGAGGAGGTTGTGGGGAGGCAGAGGCAGGCAGGTTCAGACAGAGAACAAGAGAATAAAGTCATTAACACATGAACCCTGCCCACCGGGGTAATGAGAACTGAGCACCACCAGAGGATGGAAGACTGCAGTGGATTGATGGATGTCTCCCGGCAAGAGAAGGCCAAGAGAGGATGTGAGAAGCAGGCAGCAGCGACCTTTCACCAAGAGGGTGGAAATCTCTGTATTCTGTATCAATGCAAGAAGAGGAATGGAAGCAGGAAGGGTTCCCCTGACACAGAGTAATTCAAATGTTCAGTGTTGATTGTTGTTCTTGCTGTTCTAGATATCGCTAAATCATCATCATGGATTCACTGGGCGCCATCAGCACTCGATTTGGGTTTGATCTTTTCAAAGAGCTGAAGAAAACAAATGATGGCAACATCTTCTTTTCCCCTGTGGGCCTCTTGACTGCCATTGGCATGCTCCTCCTGGGGACCCGAGGAGCCACCGCTTCCCAGTTGGAGGAGGTTGGGCGCAGTCGGGGGGCTTCCGTGTTTTCCATGCACAAATTCATTCTGGGGGTTGTTCAGCCCTCTTGCATTATCTTAAAAATATGTTCATGGTGGACCAGGAAACAAAGACTTTCAAGACGGGGAGCAATTTCAGGTCTATCAGGAAAGCCCTCTTCCCTTTCCAAATACCGTCTCCCCACCTGCTCCCAGAAACTTGAATTGTTTTGAGTAGGGACTGGTTGAGTGACCTCGTCTAAAGCCATTGCACTCATAATTAAGACAGAGCATGAAAAGCACTTATGGAAAAAGTGACATAATGCCCACAAGGGTAAAAATGACACATCCAAGATGAACACAGGAACACATAAGCTAATATGAGCTCCTTAGAAAAAACCAGAGGTATTTTTTAGTAGAGACAGGGTTTCACCATGTTGGCCAGGCTAGTTTCGAACTCCTGACCTCAGGTGATCTACATGCCTTGGCCTCCCAAAGTGCTGGGATTACAGGCATGAGCTTAGCCGGGTGTGGTGGCAGGTGCTTATAATCTCAGCTGCTCGGGAGGCTGAGGCAGAAGAATCACTTGAACCCAGGGGACAGAGGTTTCAGTGAGCCAAGATCATGCCATTTCACTCCAGCCTGGGCAAAAGTGTGAAACTCCGTCACAAAAAAAAAAAAAAGAAAGAAAGAAAGAAAGAAAATCAGAGGTAAACACAGACCTTTTCATGATTTTGCAAGGGGAGAAGGACACCTCATATACCACCGAGGTTTCTTTCACAAGCGTCCACTCTCCCCCGACTGATTCTGTGTGAGGTTTTCTCTTCTCTGAGCACCACAGTAATATTTTCTATCTCTTCCAGGTATTTCACTCTGAAAAAGGCACGAAGAGCTCAAGAACAAAGGCTGAAGACAACGAGGTGGTGAGAATAAAGGCTGAAGGAAAAGAGTTGGGAGATGTGTTTTACAAACTTCAATAGAGTTGCATTTTAGGCGTGGGCTCTCTGGGGAAAAGGGCTGAGACAGGCATGAAAGCAATATTATTTCTTTATTATTAACCAATAATAATCACGGTAGACAAATAATGTTGTAAGGATTATACAGTAGTAATAACCCCTTAGTATTGAGAAGAGACCTTAGTTGTAATGGACAACACTGCTATGATAGAACTGGTAAGGCTAATAGACTGAAAAGTTCCCATAGCAGAGTGGATGGGTTTTGGAGTTAAACAGACTGAGGTTCAAGTCCTGGCTCAGTCACTTAAGAGGGATGCTACTTTGGGCAAGTTATTTATCTTCTTTCAGCCTCTGTAAAGTGTCCAGTAGGGGCATCTGGTAACTGAGCCAGCGGTGGTGGCAGTGGTAGCAGTAGGTAGATATTATTACTAAACTCCACTCATATTTTTAACCCCATGCTGATATTGTATTTAAAAAGTTAGTACAGGCCCAATGACTTCCTGAGGTCTTTTCCAGCTCCAGTGTTCCTGTATTCCCCACCCAAAGGAGAGTCTACTCAAACAGGGGAAAGGAATAAGCCCATTAGGTCAGGGCTAGGATCAGATGTTAGCAGTCTCAGGAAGGGCACAGCTGCTCTGACAGTAGTCATAGTGCAATTCCAGACCCTCCTAAAACCATGGCTCAGATCACCCAGCAATATGAGCTGCTCATTTCACAACCCCAAAAGGCTAGGTCATGTGGGTGGCTCAGTTGCACCTGTAGAGAGTCAGGCTTCCTTTCAGGGTTTGTGCAACCAAGTTGGGTCACGTGGCCACTGCAATGTCCCCTCAATTGAGGAGTGCAGTTGTCTTCAGAGCACATTCTTTCTCAGCCATGATAGCCCATGTAGAACCTTTGTGCAAGTTAGAAAACAGCTCATTCTTTGTGATAGCTGCTCTACTCCTATGTAAAGGGCTGGATGACTCGGAACTGAATTTCAGCTTTGTGTAAGGCACAGCTTACATATACACGCTGTCTAGCAGCTTTGCCCATTCCCCAAAATTTTCCTGGGAGCCACAGAGGTATGAAGAGAATAGAATTACTGACTGAAAGGATATTAGGACTGGAATACATCTTAAAGGTCATCTACTCCAATCTCCTCATTTAATAATTTGTCCAGAGACTGGCTTACCAGGTACGCATTTGATTATTACATAAATTCAGAGTATTCTCAATCTTGCTTTGAAAAAATGCTGGTAAAATCTCAAGACATATATACAAAAGGTATAAGGAAAAATGCAATAAACACCCTTTAACTCCTCTTTTCAGTGTATGAAATAAACCATTATCAAATCGCTGATGCCCCTTAGGCTGATGTATAATACCTTCCTTGAGCACACCCCCATCCTGTCCTGAGAGAGGAAGTCCCACTATTGTGCATTAGGTGTTCATGATTCTCACGTATTTATTATTTCATTACATACCATATATTTTTGTCATTATTCTTTGGAACTTGGTTATTTTGGGCTTAGCATTGTGTTTATAAGATTCATCTATTTTAAGTGGATACTTATAGCCCTATTTGATTCATTTTTATAGCTATTTCCTCATTTATTCTGTTGATGGGACAGGTCTTCCTTCCTTCCTTCCTTCCTTCCTTCCTTCCTTCCTTCCTTCCTTCCTTCCTTCCTTCCTTCCTTCCTTCTACAAACAATGCAAAAATGACTCTTCTAATACAAGCCTCCCAATTTGCCTGGGTGAGAGTTTATCTAGTTCCCAGCTATCCAGCATGGTAGCCACTCAAGTGGCTACTGAACACTTGAAATAGATCTAGTTTGAATTGAGATGTGCTACAGGTGTAAAATGCATATTGTATTTCAAGAACTTAGTATGAGAAAGAATACAAAATGTTAATTTTAATATGTTATTTTTGCTGAAATATATATTATATATAAATATATAATTAATATTGATTGTATTGACATGTTGAAATAATGGCATTCCAGATACGTTGTTAAGGTAACATAGAACATGAAACCTTCAACCAGAAAGCTGATGGGTCCTACACGAAATATCCAGAAAACATTTTTTTTTCCCCTGGAGACAAGGATAAATCTCACTTCAGCCCGATGTGGAGTGACTCATACCATTAGGAGTCACTCTTCTTATTCACTCTGGAAAAAAATTTCCAAACTTCAATAGATAAGAATTGTCCAGGGAAATCATTTACTTTCCTTGATGCTTAGAATCTTGTGAGGAGCTAAAAACAAGCTTATTTAACATTTAGTGAGCACTTTTATTTGAGACCAAAAAAACCCACAACTTGGGTTATAAAAGCAAGATCTGTGATGTTGGGCTGGCAGAGAAGGCTTCTCTCTGGAGCTCAGATTGGTCATAACTTACATTATCATATGACTTGTGTAAAGGCCACCTGGTATCCAGGGGCCACATCAAACACAGAGATCACCCTTGAGGCTGACAAACTGGGGGAGAGACCCAGCAGCCGCATCCTCTTAGGGGAGAATCTAGGCTTGCTTTTGCCAAGATAACATGTTGAGATTTTGTTTTAATTTTCAAGATTGAGAAGACAGAAGCAATACATCAACAATTCCAAAAGTTTTTGACTGAAATAAGCAAACTCACTAATGATTATGAACTGAACATAGCTAACAGGCTGTTTGGAGAAAAAACATACCTCTTCCTTCAAGTAAGTTTGCTGTGCTTACCATATCTGTGAGTGGTATTCTGAAATGGCCAAGGGGCTCTAGTAGGACTATGGGTCCTGAAGTCGGGCTGCCTGGCTCTGGTCACATCCCTGTGGTGCTTTTCCATCCTGATCTATAGATATTCAGAACTGCAGGGAGCTTCTTTATAGTCCTGGCAATCTAAGCCTGATTTTTGCCTCATCCCCAGATAAGCTGCATAAAAATGTGCATGCAGGTACTCAATGTGAGATGCCCAGGACCTTACAATTTCTCTTACTGTATTAGTCATCCCAATGTATACATAAATTTATTTAGAGATGTTGGCAATTGATAAATTGACTTTTTAACCTCTTTTTATTCCTTCCTTGTTTCTCCTAAAGAAATACTTAGATTATGTTGAAAAATATTATCATGCATCTCTGGAACCTGTTGATTTTGTAAACGCAGCAGATGAAAGTCGAAAGAAGATTAATTCCTGGGTTGAAAGCAAAACAAATGGTAGAGTATGGGTGGGTCATTCATTGCAAAAAAAACCAGAAACAAACAAACAAACAGACAAAAAACACTTCTTGACAATCTGCTGTGAGTGAAGCCCTGGACTTGTCACTGCGTGAGGGGCCATATAATGCACAAGCTTTGGGAAGGGACTTGAGACAGGTTTTGCAGGGTTGGAAGGGCAAGCCTGGGCCTAGGAGGTAGGGAGGGCACTGCAGATGGTGGAGCAATTTCTGCAAATGTGGAGAGGCCAAGGGGAGCCAGCAGGGGACTGCATGAAGCCAAATGCATGGAAACGCTTGCTGGAGAACTGTTTACACATAGCCATGGATCACAATATCTTGGGGGTCCCGAAAATGGGATGATGCCTGTATGCCTGTCTTGGGTTTACATTCTTTCCTTTATATCAGAGCCTTTCTTCCTGAGTTTTTCTCTGTCTGTGTTAAGTGAGAAACACGCAGCTCTCCCATCAAGACTTGTTCCCATCCACAGCTGGGGCCACCTGGTCTTCATCTTCACTTAAGCATTGTGCAGGGATAATGACAAACGACAGCCCCCCCCCCACCCCCCACAGCAGAGGATTTGACAACTTTCTTATCCCATTCTTCCTTTCTCATCCCCTAGTATGAGAAATCCACAGAGAAATGTTAATGTGGAAATTCACCTTGGGGAGCAATAGTTGATACTTTAGTGTTAGAGTTTCAGATTCCATTTTTATACCAATTATCAGAGACACCTTTGTTACTTAGAATGTGTTTTTTTCCCCCTCATCCTTGGCCTGAAGAAAGGAAATAAGAAAAGCAGAAAAAATAGGATCTTTCAAAAAGTTGGTTGAACAGTATTTTTTAGTATTTATTGTGGGATGGGCTGAACTCAGACAAAAATATCAACTCCTTCTCCAATATAATAAGTAATCCCTCAATCTCAGGCGGTAACTATATTAAATGGTAAGCATAATAGCTAACACAGAGTGCTTATTATGTGTGTGAGATGGTGTTCCAAGAGCTTTACATGTGTTGAATCATTTGCTCCTTTCAACAACCCTATGAGGCAGATTTTATTCCTATTTTACAGATGTAGAAACTGAGGCACGGAGAGTTTAAATAACTTGCCCAAGATTCCTCAGCCGATAAGAGGCAAACTGGATGCTAACAGAGGCATCTGACCCCAGAGTCCGGACTCTTAACCATGAACCTCAATTTATCCAGTGGGATAAATAGGCGATGGGCAAAATGAGAACCTCCTTGCCGATTCTGCCAGCGAACCCTTTGTCAGCAAGGCCCTCAGGTGCTGACCTGGCTGGTTTTTAATGATCAGTCAAGTCCATCTGCATCATATGTGTCATGCATATTACTTGTCATTTGGAAGATGGGCCAACCTTTTTCTGTTTCTTCATTTACAGAAACAATCAAGGACTTGTTCCCAGATGGCTCTATTAGTAGCTCTACCAAGCTGGTGCTGGTGAACACAGTTTATTTTAAAGGGCAATGGGACAGGGAGTTTAAGAAAGAAAATACTAAGGAAGAGAAATTTTGGATGAATAAGGTATGCTCCTTAATTTTTTTTTGTGATGTGCTTACACATGGAATATAAAATCTAAAGTCACGGCTAGGTGCGGTGGCTGACGCCTGTAATTCCAGCACTTTGGGAGGCCAAGGCGGGTGGATCACGAGGTCAAGGGATTGAGACTATCCTTGCCAACATGATGAAACTCCGTATCTACTAAAAATAAAAAAATTAGCTGGGTGTGGTGGTGCGCTCCGGTAGTTCCAGCTACTTGAGAGGCTGAGGCAGGACAATCGCTTGAACCCGGGAGGCGGAGGTTGCAGTGAGCCAAGATCGCACCACTGCACTCCAGCCTGGTAACAGAGTGAGACTCCATCCCTCACCCCGCTAAAAAAGTCCAAAGTCATATTTGAGCAAATGCGTACTGGTAGATAGTCAATGCTCATTCTGAGACTCTGATATTGGGCTTTATTTTAGATTGAGTTAATTATTTTGATGAACTAACTTGGTTGCCTTAAAGCCTTTGGTCTTATGTCCTTTGATATTGTGTGCTCTGTTAATTTGTTGCAGAGCACAAGTAAATCTGTGCAGATGATGACACAGAGCCATTCCTTTAGCTTCACTTTCCTGGAGGACTTGCAGGCCAAAATTCTAGGGATTCCATATAAAAACAATGACCTAAGCATGTTTGTGCTTCTGCCCAACGACATCGATGGTCTGGAGAAGGTAAACGCTTACATCTCCTTATTCTTGCTTTCATTTCCTGAGGTTTTCTGTCTCAGGGCTTCTGAGTAGGAGCTGGTGGCCAGCAGTGTCAAATAGAAAGTGTTTCTCACTCTCCAACAGCTATAGATGGATGTCTACTGGGGAGCATTAAATAGTACGAGTCAGGTTTATTGAGAAAAACCAATCCAAGAATGTTTGGGATGAACTGAAATGAATAAGATTATATGGGAGTCATAAAGATCATCCACCATTCTGAGAAATGGTTGATATCTACGGACCCCTTTCCTGGAAAAAGAAATTCACATATGCGTATATACAACCAATTCTGCGCACTGTACAGTAGGCTCTTGGAGCTTTTGAATTTCTTTTGTACACTCTTAGTCTTGGAGCATTTGAATTTCTTTCTTACACCCTTACACCATTGATGTACTCTCACCCATTTTGCGGTTAAAAAAATTATGTGGCTAGTGTCCTGTATTTTGAAAATCAGGAGAGCTTTGTTTCAAATCCCTGTTTCTCTAGTGGCTTTCTGACCCTTGAAGCTTCTTAACTTCCTTGAACTTCAATACTTGCCCATCTCTAAAGAGGGCTCCATGGTGCTTAATGTGTAGCAGTGTTGGAATGATTATAGAATTGTAGACTAGAAGGGGTCTAAGACATAGAAAGCACTCGACAAATGATAACTGCTATCTTCTTATACTATCAGATGCTGTGCTACTTCTGTGAAATATTGCTAGTAGCATTTTAAGTTGGAAAATATTTTGGGACAGCAAAATGGCAGTATGTCTCAGAGCTGTAAGAGTATTTATATTCTGATTCAAAAACCCCAGTTGTGGGAATTACCCTAAAGAAATAATGCAGAAGAAAAAAATTGCCTTTCTGGGTCAACTCAGTTATTTCGGTGTTAAATACACTGGAATGCCTGGTTTGAAATTCATCATAATTATTATTTTTGTATCCTTAGTAACTGTCAAATCTATCACAATGCCTGATACAGACTAAATGTTTGTAAAGTGAATGAATAGCTAAATATTGGGAAAAATTTGTCAACTTCATAAGAATATTATCTAGCTGTTTGAAGATAGGATATGTAATATTGTGAAAAAGTTTACTTTTTATCAAATAAAATGGACATTCACTGTGATTGCAACTATGTAAATATATATGCATTCGAAGACTAGGGGAGGTAGTTAAAATGAAATATATACTAGGTTGATAAAAGAAGAAATGACTTATTTTTAATCTTTAAAAACGTATTCAATGCTACGGTATTTCCACATACAAAGAGATAATTTACATAAAGAAATATAAGATGACCGCCTGCAGTATAAAGACAATAATCTAGTGAAATAAAATTTCCACTTTTAATATGACTAAAATTAATAACTTCTGACTGACACAAATCAGTGTTACACTGTTTTAGATTTTTATTCATAATCATACCATTCTACTCTTCTTTTTTTGAAAATAGATAATAGATAAAATAAGTCCTGAGAAATTGATAGAGTGGACTAGTCCAGGGCATATGGAAGAAAGAAGGGTGAATCTGCACTTGCCCCGGTTTGAGGTGGAGGACAGTTACGACCTTGAGGCGGTCCTGGCTGCCATGGGGATAGGCGATGCCTTCAGTGAGCACAAAGCTGACTACTCGGGAATGTCCTCACTCTCTGGGTTGCACGCCCAGAAGTTCCTGCACAGTTCCTTTGTGGCGGTAACTGAAGAAGGCACCGAGGCTGCAGCTGCCACCGGCATAGGCTTTACTGTCACATCCGCCCCAGGTCATGAAAATGTTCACTGCAATCATCCCTTCCTGTTCTTCATCAGGCACAATGAATCCAACAGCATCCTCTTCTTTGGCAGATTTTCTTCTCCTTAAGATGATCGTTGCCATGGCATTGCTGCTTTTAGCAAAAAACAACCACCAGTGTTATTCATAGGATTATGAAAGTCGTCCATTCTTTTAAATGCTGTCTCACTTGCATTTCCAGTCTTGGCCACCAAATCAATGATTTAATGACCCCAATAGTGTACGTGTTTGTAACCATCCTTGAAAGTGAAATGTCCTTTTCTTTGTGCCATGCATAAGGTGAGTCAAACCAAACCTCATTAATAATCTCCCCTTGGTTTCTTTTGAAAGGAAATCGGTATCTTGCAGTTTTGTGCACTGAAGGAGACAAAGTCTCTCCAGTAACGAGTATGAACTAGTAATTTTGGGGATGTCTCTTTAATTCTAGTATTTTGACATGTTATAATACACAAGTAAAATAAAACAATAGTTTACTCGGCTCATGTTATTATTCTCCAACAGATATTGTGCCAAATTGCACATAGGAAAGAAAATTTAGGAATACAGTAGCAAAACATAAATTAAAACTCAAATGCCGGGACAACGTAAAACAACATACCAGATGGAGAGGATGCCCGTATTTTCATCTTCCATTCTAACATTATGCATTGTTAGATGCATAAGCATTTTGATATTGTGTAATAAATGTGGTATTTGAGAAGATAAATGAGGTAGTTGATCAGTATTCCTCCTCTATCATCTTTTTAGACTTTATAAGGTAAATATTTGGAATAACTTTTAGAAGAGTTTCCTTTCTTTTTCTCCATTTACATTTTTCTGGTTATTTTTTGAGTGAGGTAGGAGTATTACTGAATGATATTTTCTGAAGATGCTTTATGAAAAGCTCTGAATCTATTCTTTTTTTTTTTTTTTTTTTTGACACGGAGTCTCGCTCTGTCTCCCAGACTGGGGTGCAGTGGCGCGATCTCCACTCACTGCAAGCTCCGCCTCCTGGGTTCACGCCTCTGAATCTATTCTTAATGCTCTTAATTATTGGCTTGTTTCACTTTTTTCCTCCAGTTTTTAACAAGGTCACATAACTGGCTTATTTTTTAACAGCTTTGTCAAACTACAATTTACATGCCATAAAATGTACACACTATAAGTTTATAATTCGTTGACTTTTAGTAAATTTCTAGAGTTATGCATCACCACAATCCAGTTTTAGAATATTTCCATGACCCTGAGAAGTTTTCTCATGCTTATTAATATTCCCAATCCTAGGCACCACTGAGTTGCTTTCTGTCTTTATAAGTTTTTCTTTCTACATCTTATGTAAATGGAATCATACTACACGTAGTATTTTGTGTCTGGCGTCTTGCACTCAGCATGATGTTCTTGAGGTTTATCTGTTGTAGTATGTGTTGATACTTAATTTTTTTTATTGCCGAACAGTATTCCATTGCATGGAAAAGACCTAGTTTATTTATAGATTCACCGGTTGAGGGGCATATGGATTGTTCCTACTTCTTGGCTCTTAGGAATAATGTTGCTCTGAACATGTAAATAAAAATATTTGTGTTCACATGTGTTTTTAGGAGAGAAATTGCTGGGCCATATGACAAATCAATAGCTTTGTAAGAAACTGTCAAACTGTTTTCCAATGTGACATTTTACATTCCTGCCAGCAACGTTTAAAACTAGCGTCTTCAAATCCTCACCAACATCCAGGATTGTGTCTTTATGATTATAGCCATTTTTGTAGGTACAAAGTGGCATCTCATGGTGGTTTTAATTTGCATTTCCATAATATCTAATTAGGTTGAGCATTTTTTTATGTGCTTTTTGGCCATTCGTTTGACTTTGTTTGGTGAAATGTATACAAATCATTTGCTCATTTTTAATTTGGGTTGTCTGTCTTGGCTGCTCATTTTATTGAGTTAAAAGAGTTCTTAATAAATGCTGGCTTACAAGTCCTTAATTTATCAAATATATGATACATGGACAGTTCCTCATAGTCTGTGGTTTCTTTTAATTTTGTTATTAGTCTTTTTAGAACATACATAATAATTTTTAAAAGATATAATTTAATACCATAAAATCGGCATATTTAAATTACAATTCATTGGTTTTAGTGTATTCACAGAGTTGTGTAGACACCTCCACTATCGAATTTTAGAACATTTATAACACACCAAAAGAAATACTATACTCATTAACAATCACTCCCCATTTCTCTCTTCCCCAGCTCATAGAAATTAATATTCTATTGTCTGTGTCTATGAACTTGCCCATTCTGGACATTTCATATAAATGGCATCATATAATATGTGACCTTTTGTAACATGATTCTTTCACTTTGCTTAACAATTTTAAGTTACATTCAATTTGTAGTATGAATCAATACTTCATTCTATTTTTGGCTAAGTAACATTCCACTGTATGAATACGTTAGACTTTGTTTATTCATTCATTAGTTAACAAACATTTGTATTTGACTTTTTGGCTCTTATGAATAATGTTACTGTGAACATTTTGTATGGAACAAGTTTTTGTGTGTATATATATCTTCATTTCTTTCGGGTACATACATAGGAATGGATTTGCTGGGTCATATATAACTAGTACCTTTGTCTTTATCGTTTTGAGGAAATACTAAATTGTTTTCCAAATCATCTGTACCGTATTACAATACCACAGCAATGTATGAGGGTTCCAATTCTCCACATCTTAGCTAATACCTATTCTAGTCTTTTTAGATTTTTGCTATCCTTGTGAATGTGAATTAGTATCTCAATAGTTTTGTGGGATCTTTCATAGGGTGATTGGAGTTCAGCTTATCATTAATATCATTTTTTTTTTGAGACGGGTCTTGCTCTGTCGCCAGGCTGGAGTGCAGTGGTGTGACCTTGGCTCACTGCAACCTCTGACTCGTTGGTTCAAGCGATTCTCCTGCCTCAGCCTCCTGAGTAGCTGGGATTACAGGCATGCACCACCACACCCAGCTAATTTTTGTATTTGTATTTTTATTTTTAGCATAGGTTGGGTTTCACCATGTTGGCCAGGATGGTCTCGATCTCCTGACCTGGTGATCCTCCCACCTTGGCCTCCCAAAGTGTTGGGATTACAGGTGTGAGCCACTGCGCCCAGCCCATTAATATCTTTTAAGATTCAACCTTTTGATATCAAATCTGAGAATATTTCCCTAATGATTAGTCATGTTGAGCATTTTTAAATGTATCTGTTGGCCATTTTGTATGTCTTCTTTAGAGAAATGTCTATACAGGTTCCTTGCCTGCTTTTAAAATTGGGATTTTTGTTTTCTTATTATTGTTTATTTTTATATTTTGGATAATAACTTTTTTTCCTTCAACTTTTATTTTAAGTTCAGGGGTACATGTGCAGGATGTGCAGGTTTGTTACATAGGTAAAGCATGTGCCATGGTGGTTTACCACACAGATCATCCTATAACCTAGATACTGAGCCCAGCATCCATTACCTATTCTTTCTCCCTGTTAGAAGTGAGAACATGTGGTATTTGGTTTTCTGTTCCTGCATTAGTTTTCTGAGGATAACAGCTTCCAGATACATCCAGGTCCCTGCAAAGGCATGATCTTGTTGTTCCTTTTAATGGCTGCATAATATTCTGTGGCATATATGTACCACATTTTCTTTATCCAGTTTATCATTGATGGATATTTAGGTTGGTTTCATGTCTTTGTTATTGTGAATAATGCAGCAATGAACATACATGTTCATGTATCTTTATAATGGAATGATTTATATTTCTTTGGGTATATTCCCAGTAATGGGATTGCTGGGTCAAATGGTATTTCTGCCTCTAGGTCTTTGAGGAATTGCCACACTGTCTTGCACAATGGTTGAACTAATTTACACTCCTTCCAACAGTGTAAAAGTGTTCCTTTTTCTCCACAACTTTGCCAACATCTGTTGTTTTTTGACCTTTAAATAATAGCCATTCTGACTGGCATGAGATGGTATCTCACTGTGGTTTTGATTTAAATTTCTCTAATGACCAGTGATGATGAGCTTTCTTTCATGTTTGTTGGCTGCCTGTATGTCTTCTTTTGAGAAGTGTCTGTTCATGTCCTTTGCCCACTTTTTAATTTGTTTAAGTTCTGTGTAGGCTGTGGATATTAGACCTTTGTCAGATCGATAGATTGTAAAAATTTTCTCCCATTCTGTAGGCTGTCTGTCTGTAGGCTCTGATGATAGTTTCTTCTAACCTGTAATTAGATATATGACTTGCAAATATTTTCTCCCAATCCAGAGGTTGTCTCTTCACACTCACAACCATTTCTCAAAAAGATGTTTCTTTCTGCATTGATTTGTATCTTTATTAAAAATCAGTTGACAATAAATACAAGGATTTTTCTTATTAAGCTTATGCCTAGGTATTTTGATTTTTTTTTTTTTTGCTGTCATGAAAATAGGTTTCATTTTCCAATTTTTTGTTTGTATATATAAAGGTCATTAATTGTTGTAATTGTAGTTTTATAAGCTATTATCTTATAAAATTATTTTATTGCTTGTGTAGTGTTTTCATCAATTATTTTGTGTTTTCCAGATATTTAATTATATCACACTATGTCAGATATAGCATACATAATTTTCAAATTGATTTTTATCTCTTCCCTTCTATTTCTAAGGCTCTACTTTCTTCCTCTTCTCTGATTGCATGGCTAATACCTCTAATAATATGGTAAATAGTAGTAAAGATAGTGGGCCTTCTTGTCTATATTCTGCATTAATGGTTCTCATATTTCCCCATTAAATTAAAAAAATATGCTGGCTGTCAGGTTGTATATATAAATGTTCTCTTTAGTTCTGAAAGTATCCATGAACTCATGATACATGTGTTTTTTAACATTAATGGGAATTGATTTTTTAAAAAATGCCTATTGTGCATCTAAATAAATGATCATATATTCTCTTTGTCTCATTAATATTTATATTTGTTTTTTTGAGTCCATTTAAAAGTCTATTCAACTTCTGACTATTTTGAGTATTCAGTTTACATTGGCATTAATTTGGAAAGTCCCTTTCCAGATAATTTCATCTAAAATTGTACCTATATTTTGTAAACTTCCTATTTGTTTGTTGGTTTTTCCCCAGGCTTTTCTGACATTTTTTATTCTAAAGACTTATAATTAATATTATAGAACTTTCCAACAATGAATTGTTTCTAAAAGCAGAGATTGTATGCACCTATGTGGCCATTGTTCATTTTTGTAATGTATTTTTTTGGTAATCAGTTTGTTTGATTTTTTTTTATCTCCATCTCTTCTTTGAAAGGGTTTAAGATGGCAAAATTTTTAAATTTATCTTTTTTAAGAGAACATGTGAACATTATTTTCTAGTTTATATCATTCAATTTTTTTATCCTAAAATGATTGTGAGTTGTCACTGTCGATTTTCAGAAAATGAAATTCTCCAGTTTGTTTCCATTGAGGATAGTACAAAGTCTAAGCCATGGCCCTAAGAAAATCCCCAAGAAGTTCCCAAACTATTTTGAGTAATAAAACTAACTTGAAGCCATCAGTTCTCATTTTTCATGTTTCAACTGAGTACTCTTGTTAAAATCTCAGAGGTCAGTAGAGGAATACTCTAAGGTAGGAAGAGAGACTTTATTCTTTTTTTCTTCCTTTTCTTTTCTTTTTTTTTTTGAGACAGGGTCTTGCTCTGTTGCCCAGGCTGGAGTGCAG